AATCTCTCTCCAACCTCTTAAGAGTCTGACAGGCCTCTTGGACCTTTATCCTACATCAGAAGGAAGAAACAGAAAAAAGAGGTAATTTCTTGTGTTTTGTTATGTCTACTGTGAATCTTTCTCGACGATAAACACACCTCTCAGTAAAAAGTGTCTGAATAAAGCCAAAGACTATGAGGGGGCTGAAAATAGTAGATTACATCAGGTTGTATGGAATTTAGTATTTCCACTTTCAAAGATCTTACAGCATAGTGGATTAGTAGTTGGCATAATGGCTATCTTGCTGGACTCCCATGTAGTTGACTGTGGTTCAAGTCCCGGACTTGGTGGCTTAAACTCACGCCAGACACGTGTGTGTGCATGCCCAAGATCCCGAGTATAATGGAGAAGGGACTGCGGCATGGCCATCCCTCTGGGGGTGATTTCTCGCTTTCTGTCTCTCTGTCTTTCTGGTGAGCACAAGCACCCTAGAGCAAAAACCTCCCCCTCCCCCCCCAAAAAAGGTCTTATAGCAGAGTGAATGCTAACACTTGACAGTGTATCCCAGCAGTACATTAATATTTATTAATATATGATCATTTCTGTCACCTTGTGGCTTCTCAATAGATTTCGAGAAGAGAAACAATGGGACCAGTAGATGGCGTAGTGGTTACACTGCTGCACTCCTACATGACTGACAGCAGTTCGAGTCCCAGACCTGGTAGACTGAAACACACTGGGAGTATGTACGCGCATGCCCAAGATCCCGGGAGGAGAATGGAAGAGGAGACTGCGGTGTGGCCATCCTTCTTGGGGGGGTGATTTCTCATCTCATTTTCCCCTCTCACTATCCTTCTCTCTCTCTCCAGTAAGTGCACATGCTGTAAGGCAAAAATCTCTAAAAATGCTTTTTTAAAAAGGAAACATAAACAAGCAGCATATAAATTTTTTATTTGCCTCAATCACCCCTTCCTTACCTACTCCTTTCTAAGCCATTTCAAAGATTTTTATAGAGCTCGCTAGCTTTTGCTTTATCAACCATAGGTAAACAAACATGTTATTACATATATATCACCTGTCACAAGTGTATGTTAGCGTATCTTTCAATATTCATTGCACAAACTAAGGCAGTAAGTGAAATAAAAATAGATGTTTGGATACCCTATTTCTTGTTTTAATTTTATGTAAAAACAATACCCTGTATCTAAAATGTAGGAATATTCTTTTTTTTTTTTTTTTTGGAGAGGTTTTCGCTATAGGGCGTGTGCGCTCGCCAGAGACATAGAGACAGAAAGCGAGAA